TGTTTGTCTTTACCCTATTTATTAATATGTATGGTTGTCGTTACGCAATTTATTGATACACACGTCTGTCTTTACACTTTTATTAAAACGCATGTTTGTCTTTACCCTATTTATTAATAAGCATGTTTGTCTTATATATCTCATTTAATTTTGAGCTGTTTAAATCGTTTAATCGTTTCTTATTAGCATCTAACTATTACTTTTCGTAACATTCTTTTTAACATGATACACGTATTAGATAGACAGACTATTCTTTATTTTTCACACGATGTATGCACGGCATGAAAAAAAAGAATGCTTAAACATCATATGACATCACATGTATAGTTAAAAAACCAAATGGCTTCAGGGAGTGAAATTGTGTTAAATTACCTGAAATCAAAAACGTGTAAAAATTCTCTATTACGGGCTCTTCAAAATATTTTTGCTGTAACTGTAACATGAACAGTCTTAATTGTTTAATTTTTTCCGCGAATGCCATATTTTCTCTTATAAATACATGTAACAACAATCTTATTAACCTTTTTGGTTTAACATGTTAAAATAAACATACCTATTTCTTTCAGATTGTTTCTGTGATTTAAATTTGTATGTTCATACTTGATAAGAAGAGGAAGAGCGGACATAAACAGTTTACAAATCCATCCAGTATAGCATAGAATGTGATTTTAATCGAGTTGAAAGATATGCCATGCCCAATATCCAAACTTGAAAAAAAAAACAGCTTCGGTCTCTCTGTTAATATTTTAAGATTTTGTTTAAGTAAATACTGGGTAGACATGTTACATTTATAACTCAACACGGTGTCATATATGTGTTAACACACACATTATAACACATCTGCTCATTTCAGAGATAGTAAGGTTATACATATTTCATTCTTAACAAAGACCCATACCTACACAACCATGTATAAAATTGATTTGCTATAGGCTCACGGGGCTTTAACCCGTCCGAAAAAAAAACATTAACATATCATGTAAATAATTTATGATGAAACGTAAGATAAAACAAGGATTTCTCACCTAGTATAAAAGACTCTTCCGAATCTTGAAAATGTATACTCACGATTTGTTTCATTATTTACCAGTGATCCATGTCTACACAATCATATATGTCATCATATAGGCACTTTGACAGGCCCATGAAGCTATATACATACTCGTATATATATTGACCAATGAGACACAGATCAAGCGGAACAAAACATTCAGCTATCTCCCAAGTTAATGTAAAATGACTTTAAGACAGAAACTGACAGAGCTCTGTGGCTTAATTATGTACTTCTTTCATTTGACAATACGACGTATTTCTTCAGTTATCATTTTTTGCCCTTATAAGGGCAGTTTATATATATATATATATATATATATATATATATATATATATATATATATATATATATATATATATATATATATATATATATATATATATATATATATATATATATATATATATATATATATATTACTTGCTTCCTGTACGGCGGAAGAAAAATAGACAGTTTTTATGCTTGTTTAGACAAAACTTTGAATGTTGTCCATGCCGTTCTCACCAAAATGGATTAAAACTAAAGGAGGCTTCCTCTTGAAAATCGTTGTCATCCTGTCTGTTAAAGAAGCCCTTGTCTACACTTAATCAACATTATGATTAAGTTAATATATCTTCCAATTACAGGTAAGGTAGTACAATTATTTAAATTAAGGCATTTAATTTCTTGTCTTGTAATACCATTTTACTTATTTAAGTAAATCAAAGCTTTGTTATTACACAAATTATACAACAATTTTTAAAATAACGGAGTAATAATTATAATATTAAGAGGCAAGAAAGTCGGCAATTTTCATTTGAAAATCCAAAATGATATTATGCAAATCAAGGAAAGCAGGTTTCTGTAAAGAGCTGCCGTATCTTTTGCTGGATTTCAAAATGTATAAAATCATTTTATAGAATACACAAACGTGCATTTTAAGACTTATCCTATTGAAATCGACCTCGATTTTACAAATTTACAAGCAAAATTTCGACGTTAATTTCATAATTTACATCCTATCAACAATTTCAAGAGATTGTTTAGGATAATATAAAATAAATAGAATAAGATTTGAATAAATCAGAAGCTAAAATCCGACGTTACTTCGTAACAACCATGAAATCGTAAATATACCGACACATAACATTTTAGGTGGTAAGACAATTTTAATTAGGCGGTTATTTATATTTTGTTTTATATTTAAATTGTATATACACATGTAACACTGTCAATACGTTCATTTTTCTACAAATCGAGTGAGATTTACTGTATTAACTGGCAAAATTTCGTCGCTTTTTAGCTGAAATGACACAATTACATTGCGCAAAGCAGGCTAGGGGGTTGAATTTCTTTAACGTCAAATTACTGTATTGTAACATGGCCAGCGATTGGCTGCAAACTGTACTAGGAAAACCATAAGATTCATGGGACATCAGGTGATCGGATGAAAATGTAATATTTACGATAAAAAATATTTTAGAATTAATCAACTTATGATCAACTTATAAACAACTGAAACACATGTCTGATGGCGGGAACAATTATACGCATGACTAATACAACGGCCAAGGGAAATCACTCCTGCAGACTACAATCAATTAACTATAACTGCTTATTTCCCTTTGGTTACAAATATTTTGAGACTACATGTAATTTTATTGAAATCGGTAGAGATTGACAAAGTTGGACGTTTATTTTTCATAATTTTATTAATCGGTTAGTCACATCTGTATTTGGGTTGAATTTTCTAAATATACACAATGCACATTGTGTTGACTATAATTTTTCTTTCGTAAGAGTGTTTCATAAGCACGTTTTAAGATTAGATTAAAATCTGACTTATTAAGAAGCTAAAATTCGACGTTACATACCGGAAAAAAATGTAAATATATCGGCAAATTACGGGGTTTTTTTTGTTTTGCCATATCAAGTCTTGTTTAATATTACAATATCAACATCTCAAATAAATTATTTAAAGATATTGGTGAATTTTTTTTACAACGATCATAAATTGCATAATTTGTGTTATTATATAAAAACATATAGAGGATATTCACGTTTTCCTAACAAAAAAAGAAAAAAAACCTTACTACTGAATTTTTGCTAAGCACCATAAGTTTATTTTTATATTATCACAAGTTTAAAACAGATTTCTTTCCAATTTTTGGAAATTCTGATACAGCAATATTTTTTTTGATAGTCCCCTGTACTAACATGAATCCGTGTTGACAAATCCGTTACAACTCGCCCTGATAGCATTGAAACATGTTCCCCAATATTTTCATGTTTTGGTAGATTGTACAACCACATGTATTTTGTTATACGGCGACATTAAAGAAGCAGAGTAATGAAGGGCTGTAGGGATGGTGCAGCAGGCGGCCACCTTCCACAAGGTTGGCGAGACGCTTGGTGTACACCACACTGTCATCACCAGAGCCAGGGAGAGATACCGGCTACATGGTTCACCCACCAGGAGGCATGCTAGAGATCCGCAAAGGGTCACAGCACCAGCTTAGGATCGGTGTTTGGGCGTTCAGCCACGATGTGCAAGGTTTTCGACGGCAACTTCTCTTCGAAATGACCTCGCTAATGCTGCCGGGTCCGTGGTTCCACGCAGACGATACGTAGAAGGCTGCATGAAAGCAATTTGCAGTCGAGAATACCTTGCAAACGTATCCCCTTGAAATAGCCCAACATTCAGCGAGAGATATTTAACAGTTCTTTCTAGCACCTAATCCTTTATTTGGCATTTTTTAAGATTATTTCTTGAAAATGACATTTGGATATTATGGAAATCACTGTTTTAAGTTTTACATCACTATAAAAACAACCATTGTTTGATCCTTTTATGCAACTTTAATGTATCTATTATTTCCATCAAACATACAATTCTGAAAGTAAAATTTGATGTCATGTGGCAGATATTCGTGTTTCGTTATTCGTTACGAGCATTTTTTATGTATCATTTTGTCCTCGTATTTGTATAGACATCTTGTGTATTTGTCTGTAATCTATGTGTTATATTCCTGAACAGTCCAATTTACAATCCATTATCCTATATCATTTCTATTAATTCCATTCATCACCATTCATCCTTACAACTAATTACTTATTGTTTTTATTTTGACATAACTTGCATGCCGGGCCTCAGTTTTAACAAACTTCCCGGACAAACCATGCAAACTTTGATAAATATATTTCTACGGTTTACGCCAGTAATTGTTTCTCTTCTATAAAATTATTTTATTAAATTATCAAAGCATCTGTTTTATTTCCTTTACATGTAATTGTTGTTTATCATTATGTTTCATAATCATGAATCTTCCCATTTTTCATTTATGTATTTCAGAGCTGTATATATGTGCTTTGTTTAAATATATATTTCTAATGTTTACGCCAGAAATTGTTTCTCTTTATTTATTAAATAATCAAGGCGTTTATTTTATGTACCTTACAGACATAAATATCCATTCTTGCATTTATGAAGAACCATACGACATACGATATTTTTTTGTTTTGGAGACGAAACAATGAAACACAGAAGGTGACGTATCGACTACAGCAAATCTGAACGGCTATTCTGTTTTTATTTCACTTCCGGTGACCGGGTACTCCCAAGGAAATTAATATATTAAACAAAAGTTGTAACTAGTTATTTGTCTATGTAAAATCGCAAACATTTGATTTATTAAAAGGTACTTATTCTTATCTATATATCGACGTCGGATTATTCACTTCCTCGGACCATTTAGACGGCAATTAAATATTTGTGCACTTTGATCATATTCTTTGCGGGACAGAGTTAAATTAATACAGTTTTGAGGACAGTGTTTGTTGATGTTGTTTAGTGAGGTTAAGTGCTATGATCAGTTGTTGCTAACTGACAAATATATGAATGAATGAATGAATGGATAAATGAATGAATGAATGGATAAATGAATGAATGAATGGATGAATGAATGAATGAATGAATGAATAATTATATTGAAAAAAAGGCAAATGCCTGTGAGTACAGTGAGTACATATATACAAACATATAATACAATGTTTCTTTACAAAATAATCAGTCGCGGTCTAATTATATATTAATCATCATAAATGTATGTAATCGTAAAAAAATATCAATCATCACTGCATGCAATAGAAATATGAAATTAATTTTTTCATGTAATTATGTTAAGTTTCATCATGAAATTAGAAAATATCATACACATGACCTCATCGTATCACTAGAGGCAATTGGTGAAACAAAAGTATCAATCAATAAAAATATAAATGCTTCTATGTAAATGTTCTAATTCAAAATATTTAATTTTAAAACAGGTGTACACCTATCATAGACATCGTCAAAAAGATTTTGAAAAATACAAAAAGTGAACGTTAGTATTCAACTTCACCCAAACACACATACGCACATACATACACACGCACGCACGCACGCACACGCACGCACGCACATACAAACGCACGCACGCACACACACACACAAACACAATATTATACCAAAGTAGAGTCTTCATAGAGTCTTAACTTGAAAGGATTAAACGTCCATTTCCAAATCTGTGCATGCATAAAATGACCAATTTCATGTATCCGTCAGAAAATAAACGTTTCTTTGAAGTTTCTTCATACAATTTATTACTGAAGATATTGATTTAAATTGAAGAGATAAAATGTTGCTATGCATTGAGGCAAAAATAGAATATATACAAAACGACTGCGTGGATGAGTCCATGATCAAACAGAAAACGGCATTACAATGTTTGTTTTTCTTCCTATTCTTTATCCTTAACGTTTTTAACCTGAAAAAGTAAGAAAAAATAAATATTATATAAGAAAAATGCTAATGCTGTCAATAGAATAGTGTTGTCATGTTATCAATTGTGTTGATAAAAGAATGTACTAAAAGAGAGAAAAAGTAGGTTCAAATACAACCATATTTTTCCCCCAAAAATGCCAAGCAACGCATGTCAAATATTTGATATGTTCCTTAATACAAACCATCAAGGTCGTCAATAGAGTAAAAAATTATTTTGATCGAATCTGTTCATGAAATAAAAAAGCATAATATTTTTCTCCCCCCCCGCCCCCCCCCCCCCTGCCGCAAGTTTTAAACAAGAGTTTTATTTTCTAACATTTAACATATTAAAATGAATTATTCCGAAAAGAAAATGTAACATGTGGATATTGTAAGGTCAGTTTAACTCATCTTGTTTCAAAACAATGGCATCTCAAAGCATAAAATATTTGTTCAATATTAATGAATTGAATCGATATATGTTTTCGTTTTTGTTATGAAAGAGCATGTTCAATACAGACTATTCACTTCTTTAGAGATAGGATTTTACTACTGAAACTATTGTCATAGAAGTAATAAAGTCATGCAATGTTTGAATTTAATTATAAACTAATCTAGGTTGTTTTAAAGCTGATAAACAATCGAATTGCAAAGAATCGTTTCACATCTCCAATATTAACATGTCAAAAGATATAAGAAACTCACCGACAAATATCTCCCCTGGTGAAGAACTTGAAGTACAGTTTCTATTACAATAATCGTCTCTGCAGCATGCGTGACACGATGATAAAGTCCCAGGAATTTGATGTGACAATGAGTTGCACTAAAATTATAGTGATGTCATTTACATAATGTCGAGGGTAACTGCTTACGGCGTTAACGAGGTTCAACCGAGTTTCCGCTAAATAGTTGCCCGACAGCTAGATTTTTCTGACTGTTATGACAGCCGGTGTTTGAATATTACAAATGAATAATGTTTCGAAAAAGGAATTACGAACACTAATATTTTTATTCAGCTATCTTTCTTATAGAAGTGCATGAATGCACATCTTCATTCATTACGGCACAATAACGTCATCCTGAGAACCCATTTTTTTAATACTAGGGTTTAACTTACATAAGGGTGTTAGACAGATTGTTTTAGGAACGGTGTAAACAGTACCTAATCCTGTCTGATATGCAGATATAAAAAGTCTCTCCAATGTCTTATTCACTGATGTTTATACGTTTCCTTGACATATCATGTTCTAAATTTAATAATGACATTATGCAGGCTAATCAAAGCATAATGAATTAAAGAAACGATTATCCATATTGAAATCTTGGTAACAGAATAATATGACATATAATCAACATACCAAATGATGAGTACACCCTAGTTTATAATGGTAAGTATCTCCCCATTGTTGTTTTTCTATAGAGCACACCTATAAATTATAATAACAAAAAAGTGATCAAATCTGAAAAAAACACAACAAGCCATTTTTTAATAGCATTTGTTCTATGTGAATTAACACAAAACTGATGTCATCAATTCATCAATATGTGACAATAATAACTAGGCATTTCTTAAATGCTTACTAAAGTTTGTTTAAAGATAAACAACTTCTTAAGGTCTTGATACCTGATCTGATGCACACATTGTAACCTTTAAACAAGAATTTATATCACCGATATGTTGACAATCAAAGCACATTGGACCCCTATGTTCTCTTGAAGGAAAATCTGAAAACCACAAATTGAGAGTTCAATAAAAATATTTACAACAGAGTAGGACTTTTCAAACGGGTATATTATCCAGTGACCTTGAATTCAACAATATTTATGACCAAGCATTAAACGAAATAAATTGTCCTTCTGGCAGTCTAAAAAGTTTTTTTTTTTCATATTTCATATAAACCGTTATTTCTCAGAATAAAAAGTCGAACTGATAACATAGCGTATACATGATTGTTTCAGACTTGTTTAATATGTTTTCTACATTTTGCCATCGATTTTTTAATTACTCTGAAGCTGTTATTCTAGCTTGAGACAAGCCGAAATTTCTACCGAAGATGCAATCTCAACCTGGAATTGTGTCAGTCAAAATGACAATAGCAATAAAGTTATCGGTGTAGGAAATAACCCAATTTTTAAACTTTATGTTCAACATTGGAAGATTTAGTAATAGCTTTGAAATTAAAAGACCATGGCATGAATGTAGATCGACAATTAATAATACCTGTATTTCCACAACCTTTATTGTTACACATTTCGCTTGTACAACATTCAACACAAACAGAATTTGAGGTACTATTTTCCTCTTTGTAACATTTCTGGAATTGTTATGATTATTTATGTTCATAAAATGTCAAGCATAAAATAGCATATCACAGTGATTTTCTTTCGTCCGGGTATGTCTTAGCTCAGAGGTAGTTAACAGCAGTTTCAAATATTTTTCATTATTTTTCATGAGATCATTAAACATTTTTTGGTTTAAGCGGCAATGTATATTATTATTTCAGTTCTTTAAAGAAGCTTGTTCTTGCATTATTCTTTATCCTATATATAGTCATATATATTCGGTTTGATATTGCTTATGACTGACAAGTTGCCATTTCCCACAATTTGTGGTCATGGTCGATATTGAATCTCATATGGTATAAAAAAGATATACAAATGCTTACTTGTTCATCCATACAACCAGAGCGAAATGCCTTTCCATAATCAGTCTGATAAGATTCTGTATAGCATATCTGAATTTATAGATATATTAATGGTCTTTTTAAAATTAAATATTTCCAAATGAACAAACAAATTGATGTTATATCAAACGATTTTGAATAACAAAATGAAAAATCTTCATTGACATCAACAGTTTATCAAAAGCTAACAATAGTTTGTTTTATTGTGTCGATGTCGATGGTATTTGTGTAACCATTCGTGAATGAAACTTCCAGCATACCTTTTAAAATTCAAAAAAAAATGTTATCGATTATTTTATTACCTGGGTCCCCTGACAATGTTCAACTTTGTCACAATATTCAGGATTGAACATACCATCACAGCTAAAACAAGTTATAGGCGTTGCTTTCTCTGTATAATTATATAGATCATTTGTTTTTAATATCATTAAATTTCAAATTTGCAAAGAACTTGACATCACAATTGGAATTGCTTCAACTATATACAGAGTCTTAAAATTAGTATATAAAAGCGAAACATATTTGCCCAGTTAAGAGCCAATTCAAAATTTAATTCAGCATTTCCTTAGTAAAAGATAAATATGTTAATGTTTCACAAGAACTGATACGTTAATAATTTATAATCACTCTGAAATACGAAAGTACATACATGTACTTATAAATCAATAAATATTAAATAATGATTGTATTTGTTTCATACTCTGTAGTATGCAGGTCACGTGATATTTTTGCCATGCTCCATTTGACAAGCAAGTTGTGAAATAATCTCCGTACAAAGTATATCCAGGATTACACCTAAATTCAGAAGATGCACCAAAGTGTGTTCCATTAAGTGTGACAACAAAGCCATCTTTGGGTGGTACCAGCAATCCACAATCTGTTCAGATATTCAAAAAACTTCAATTATAACTATCATGATGTAAATTGAACAGAAAATAAACAAAACGTCTTTAATTCTAACATGACAATAAGCTTGCTGTATAACTTTCTTATTTTGAGCACATACATTCTTTATTTGAAGGACTAAATGTCGTTCTTCATGGAATTGCACGAACATGTCACATCGAATGTTCCATGATGACCGCCATATGGTCACATACATCTGCGGATGTTTCCAAATTCACAATTTCACCATTTTCATGATTAATGTTGAATTTGTCTGCTAAAGCTTGTAATGGGGCGTTAACGGTAGCTTGCAATAAGACCTACCGTCCATGAACAATCAAAGCAAACCTTTAGTATTTTAAAATTTGCCAGTTTGAGTTTTAGTTGGTATTTTAAATTCATGTAAGACCAGAAGTCTCTGAATAATTTCTGATATCTCGAAGAACACATTTAAGCTAGTTCCTACGCGTTTTGAAAATAGTATTATTGAAGCCCTGGAGGGACATTTTTTGTTTTAAAATTATTACTTATTACCTATTACATGTATCTATCGCGGATGACTTATTACTTACAAATTATGACTTGTTTTACATATTATATCTTGATTTCTATTGCCAACAAATTTCATAAAAAGTGAAATAATATAGTTTTCATATCTTATGTTTATGAAATAATTTCGGTTTTAGCAAAGAATGACTTTTTAATTTACATATAAATGAAAAATTTATATCAAAAGAATAAAAAATTTCGAAAACAAAATATTACACAGTTGTTTGTACTGAAGTGAAGCAATTATTTCTATATAAATGTCCCTCCAGGGCTTCCGTAGAATTTCCAAAAATTTTATCAGATGAGACTCGTAGAATATTAAATATAACGGTTATTTCCTATATCATGATTAGCGATGTATAAATTCCGACTGCATACATTTATAAAGGAAATAATAAGCGAATGAACAAAAAGTGGTAATATCAGTGTAAATAATAACTTGCAGTCAAACTATTAAACAAGCAGGAAACAAATCTTAAGACAAATAGGGAAAAAGAAAATGTAACAGAAAATACAGTAAAAAGAATGGAGAAAGATTTAAAAATCACAGACAAAAATAACATTTTAAAAATCACAGACAAAAATAACATTTTAAAAATCACAGACAAAAATAACATCTCTCTGTGAGATTACTACCATTCATAAAGGAGTGTATATGTATGGGTATTGCTAGTCTGTCATAGGACTGTCAAAATGACTTTTTGGAGACAAATGGAAATTTAATCACCCCACTCTTATCATTGAATCTTTTTATATATGTGTATACAATGTACATTAATGGGCTTGGTGATCGTTTACAGTTTATTTATCATTAAATTTTGTTTTTATGTTTTTATATTTATATGACTGATAAGTTTCCTTTAAGAATACTACAATGCGCGCGTGCGATTGCTCGTGTGTGCGTGCGCGTCCGCACATGCAAGTAAATTGTATGTGTAATTTTATACATTTTGTAACATCGCTTTGTTAAAAAAGACTCAATATTAAAATATTAAAAACATGTTAACACCTTTTATTTGGCAATGGGAAAAATTGTTACTCCAATGACCAGATGTCATACATCGTGCAGTTTCTCGACCGGTCATAAAGAATCCAGGATCACACTTGTATATTGCAATTGTACCATATACTGTATTGTTCTGGGTAAAACTAACATAACCATTTGCTGGGGCACTCAAAGGTCCACAATCTGAATAAAATAAAATAAACAAAGGAATAATTACGATCAGACAAAATGCTTCAGTTTTTTATGTTAGTAAATAAAATGCAAATCAAAAAAGGAAATGACAGTTGATGTAGTTACCCGTTATCATGCTAAAATCATGGGTATTTGTATTTGTCGTATATCACATAAAGTGTATTGTACTATGTCATGAATTCGTATATGCTATTGACAAGACAGCATACTCCCAAAAATATTTTAGATCTTTTTTGAAACAATTTGGTAAAATTCGTCCCATTTTCTGTTTCAGTACAGGTAATTATATATCTTCAGTCTAGTTACCATCCAACCACACAGCTAACATTTGAGATGGTTGTACATACCGTTACGTTCATACAATTTCTTTGGCGGCATGGCCGAGTGGTTAACGCGTCGGACTAGTAATCTAATGATCACTAGAGGCATGGGTTCAAACCCCGTCAGGGGGAAGTCGTTGTTTCCTTGAGCAAGAAACTTAACACTCTTTGCTCAGTACTGGTTGGTTCTAGGAACGGATTCGAAAGTGTGTCTATAAGCGTATAGCTTCCTTCACAATCGAACTAAAATAAATTCTGTATAAACCAATTTCTTTCATTGACATTTGCCAAATATATGTTTTCTTTTCTTTTTGTATGTGTTTATTTAGGGTCGCCGCCGGAAAGCCCATATGGGCGACCGTACACTCAAGTCGGACCCTCCTAGAGCGTCCCGCCGAGATTCTTTTTCGCCGATTTTTTCCAGCTTTATTGGTGAAGGAAGACCCCAGGTGCCCCTTCAGGCACGAGCGGGCACATGGCTAGAACCGCCGACCTTCCGTATGACAGCTGGATGGCTTCCTCACATGAAAGATTTCGATCCGAGTGAGGATCGAACCTTCAGCGGTGAGGGACCTGTGATCTCAAGTCAGCGACCTTAACCACTCGGCGAAGGCCGCCCCTATATGTTTTCTAGTTTTCCACAATCTGTTATTTAGGACGCTAGTGATAATCATCTTAATCCTATTTTAAATAATTATCATATAGTTGAAGATCGGAGGAAACCAAATAAAAAAATCAACATAAGACATTCATGAAACAAAAGAAAGTATTTTAGTATATCAAAATATCTATAATAAAAAAGTACATTCCGTTAGGTATGCAATATGGTAGGTTAACCAAGGTTCGATTTTTGAACGTTTTAGTGTAGTTTTAGACAGTTAGGATGTTTTAGTTTAATGTTTAGTAACCACTATCACACACTACATTTGCTGTAAAGTTAAACTTGGTGTCATTATGCAATTGTATTCATGCTAGGTGTGTTAGGTTAAGTTGAGTGAACTTGTTTTAGATAGATACCCTTTCTGACACAGGTTGGTAAATTCGTCCAATCGCCTGTTTCACTACAGGTTATTATAGTTGTGGATATTCCTTCGGTTTGGTCACCATATTTATCTTTGAAACCATCATCACAGCTAATGCTTGCGATCGATGTAAATACCGTGCCGTTCATATAATGTCTTTCATTGACATTAGTCAAACGTATGTTTTCTAGATTTCCACAATCTGTTATGAAAATGAAATATGTATAAAACTATAATACTTATTTTCTTAACCTAATTTGAAATTAGACTTATATAGTTGAGCGTGAGAGGAAACCTAAAACTTAAAATGATAAGACAAATATTTGTTCAATAATAACAACAAAACATCAACAAAAGAAGCATTACAGTTTTTCTGTATTAAATAGAATAAGGTGTATTCCTTTAGGTATGCAAGATGGTAGGTTCACCCAGGTTCCATTTTTGAACATTTAAGCGTAGTTATTGACAGTTCAGATGTTTTTGTTTCATGTTTTTTATAGTAACAACTATCGCACACTACATCTGCTGTAACGTTCAACTTGGTGTCATCATTCAGTTGCACTTATGCTACGTTTGTAAGGTTATGTTGATTGCCAGTCACACCTTCAGCACACAAAAAAATTATTGCTTTATCATATAATATGCAGTAATTGGGATAAGAGGAAAAACGTATAAATTGTACGTCATGTAATAACAAACATATTAAAAATGTATGAAAACAATTGATAAGAAATAATAAAACAGACAGTTCTGTGGAAATCAAACAAGTCAACAATGCCATTTTCTGACGCATGGTTTTACATTGTTCTAATTCTTTGTCGTTGCCGACGATTATAAATAATTTAAAGAAAAACATTGATTTCTTAATAGAAATTTTAAGTTTTTAATGATCAGATTTTTGCATTCACAGTTTACTCGGTTAATATACTTCAATTATTTCATAATTAAATGACCTGTCTGATAACTTCTTTATACCTAAATTGAATTCAAATCTAACTGAAGGATTCTATAATTTTAACGTTCTTGATTTCTATAATAACCCGTATCTCTTATTAATTATAGTGAACTGTGTCACCTCTTTCATCTCTGTTACACATTTGTCAGTATATTAGCATGTATACAATAACCATGAACCCATGAGTTAAAAATATTTTTTTCTTCGCTTTATCATTTTTATAATATGAATGACAAAAACGGTCTAAATAAGTTTACAAAATAGATAATATACAAAAATGAATAATTACCTTTTCTGACACATTTCGGTAGATTTGCCCACGTTCCGTGTTCGTTACATCTAACCAAAGTGCTTGTTAATCCTGGTACCTGGCTACTAAGTAACTCCTTATATCCCTCGTCGCAAGTTATATTCGCCAGCGACGTATAAATTGTGGTTCCGTTGACCAGGCTTCTGTTTTTAGCATTTGATAAATTTAATTTGTCCAAACTCCCACAATCTGGAAAAAAAAAACGTTGAAAACATAAACTATATATAAAATTTCGAAAATAACTCATACTAAGCAAGAAATGTCATTTAAGCATCTTTTGAAGAAAGGCAGAAACAAACATGATAAACTCTTGTATATTTTAAAGGAATTTTTGACGTTACAAGAAATAAAACATAATCGTTTCATACCTTTAGGGACGCATACTGGCACATGGGTCCATGCTCCTGTATCAGAACATGTTATTTGTTGCGTTGATATTCCAGCTGTTTGATTTCTACCTTTAATATAATATCCGTCATCGCAGTCTATATCAGCTGTTGATTCAAATGTTGTATCTGTATGTAGACGTCTGTGATCGGCATTAGTTATCGGGATATCTACTAGGTTTCCACAATCTGAATAAAACACAGTAAATTGCACAACAATATTCTTTTTTTTTTTAGTAATTGAAAGTCAGTCTGGTTAGCTATTGGTAGTAGGTGGTTAACTTTTTCTAGTCACGTTTAACGAATTAGCCTTGTTGTTAAAGTGGTTAAAGAAAACAAAAGAAACAGAGAAACTTATAAAACTTTCAAGATAACCTTTCAATCAATAGACCTTATTACGATAAAAGATAATGAATGTAAATATACATTTCGTCTTTTAATTATTGAAGCTTGCGGTATAAATGATATAAATTTCTTTATTCAAAAGACTGGTAGTAATTGCAATTGCAGATTAAGAAAAGAATGGTTGAGTAAACATAAATAGTCATTAGTTCTTTTACTTCAAATAGCACAACATCAATGTTTATGACGATACTTGGAATAACGTTCTATAACATCTCTACTTGAACCATGATGACTCAATTGTCGTCATTGTATAAGAATGTTATGTTATTCACACGTATATTGATTAATGTCTTAAATTAAATTAAAAAAATAGATTCTTTCAACATAGTATTTATGTTAAGTGAATAAGCCACATTCATGATTTTTAAAGACATTCATGATTTTAAAGACATTACTAATTATGTATTTACCTTTTCTGACACAGTTTGGTACATTTGCCCATGTTCCGTTCTCAGAACATTTGATCAGTGTGGATGATACCCCCTTCATCTGGGATTTATTGTAATCATAGTACCCTGTTACACATGTTACAGCAGCACTGGATCCGTATTTTGTGTCAGAAAATAGAAGTTTGTCTTTAAAATTTGAAATATTCAACATGTCCAGAGGTCCGCAATCTTAAAAAAAAGAAATGTATTAGAATTATACAGAATTTTTTTAATTTCGCTCACTGATTTTGCGTATGTCATGCATAAAATGCAGAACATTTACTTTGAGTTATTAATATTTATTTAGCTAGAAATTGAATTTGTTGAAAAGTTGAGATATACAATTATGAAGTTGGTCTAAGTTCCTTTATTCTGAACATCTTATTGTAGTAGTCCATGTTAAAGTTGGTTGATTCTCAGTACATATAATTTTTTTTGAAATCGTTCAACCATTACCTTCCTTCATCATTTAAAGTACGTATTCATTCATTTAAAGTTAAATTACAAGTAATTATTATATAGATATAAATGTTCTTTCTTAATAACCCGAATCTTGTAGCGCAGATAGAAACATACTGTATTATAAAAAACATTCCGTATTATATAAGTGACTAATACGGTACCATATATGGAAGAGACGGACTATCTGTCGTGGTAGCTTCTCGCCTTTACTATGCATTACGTAGTAAAAAAGAAACGGGAACCAATACTAAATAGGGATATTTGCGGAGAATCCGTTGCTATATTAAGTAATGAAGTTCCGCTGTTAAAATATATAACCAAACATATTTTACCGATTTTTATTACTTTTATCAACATTTCCAACATGACTAGCCAACCATTGTGTCCGAATTTCTTAACAATATCAAATATACACAAATAACGTTCATGTTCATGTTAAAGTAGAGAGTGTTCTTCATTTTACCTACCGTCGTCTGAAGCTGTTTACGTGTACTTATGTATTACTATCAATGGTAAAAAATAACAGAACTCTTTTTGTTAAAATATTTTGTTACTGACTTGGACATATTAATCCTTATAAAACGGATATTTTGATGTAATTCAACTATCGGATAAATGTTTTGGCTGAGCTTTTCCAAAGTAACCAACACAGAGACAATGTAGTTGCCAGTAAGCAGAGTGATGACGCAGCTAATTCATTCAATGCTTTGTCATTCAGATCTTATCCAGCAAGAAGCAATAAATTATACCGTAATATAAATAAGTTCAGCCGGTTATCACATAAACTTAACTTTGAGTACAGAGAGTCTTGTTGGTGGCAGAAAATTACTTAAATTGTGACAACTCAAATGTAATAAACAATTCGACATTCCTCAACAGAACTGATGTTGAAAAATGAAACTTTGTAAGAGGAATGAAAATCAAAAACACTGTAACAACTAAAACAGGTTTTCATCAGTTCCAACGTTGAACATCAATCGAATCTTTCTGTTAGTTGTTTGGCATGTTTAAATAGATCTTAACAACGTTTCTTGTGTAGACAAAAGGTAAGATTATAGACATCAGTACAAATTTTTTTTTTAATTTCTTTATAAATACAAAGACACAAAGAGCACTATCATGAAAATATCAACGTTTAATTAATGAGATATAACCTCTTAGATATTTCAAAGATGTATTGGAGTATGATCATTATGAACGAAATATTTGGTATTGCACCGTCTGAAATAACATAAAAACGGTAGATCTTCTTTATTTAACTGCTAACGAGATAAAACGATAACATACAATTTCAATCAACGGCTATATTGTAAAAGATGTATTAAGATGATTGCTATGTTAGTGTTTGTAAGTTTTATAAATCAAAAGGTGTGTGCTTATGTTATTTTTTAATTAAAATGCAATTTTATAATAGTTTAATATCTTAGTATATCAATTATAGAATGTTACATATCTCCGTTGCACCAATTTACGACACATGGCATAGTGTGTAGTCATGAGTAGAGTGTGTAGATAGATAGATAGATAGATAGATAGATAGATAGATAGATAGATAGATACATAGATACATAGATACATAGATACATAGATAGATAGATACATAGGTACATAGATAGATAGATCGATAGATCGATAGATAGATAGATAGATAGATAGATAGATAGATAGATAGATAGATAGATAGATAGATAGATAGATAGATAGATAGATAGATAGATAGATAGATAGATAGATAGATAGATAGCCTTTTAATAACAATTATTCTGCAATGTTGGTATGCCTAACCTTTTCTTTGGCACGTTTCAATTGTAGTCCATGTTCTGTCACTTTGACAAGTAGTACTCTGCGTTTTATTTCCAGTAGGATTTCTTGTGAATTCGTAGCCCTCGTTGCACTCATAAGATTGCTTATCCTGGTACTTGTATATTTTAGTATCGTTTTTTGTTTCATTTTGCAATAAATGCACGTTGTCGGTAGGACCGTTTTGCAATAAATGCACCTTGTCGGCAGGATTGATAGAGAGTGGATTACATACTGAAATAAAAGTTACAAAGATCGATAGGTTGTAGATTTAAATATCTACTTTTTCTGTCGTATCTAAAACTGAAGAAGATAGCTAGAAAGTTGTATAAATGTATGGATAGATGGATGAATGTTCGCCCGAACTGACGGAAACACAGACTGACATTCTGAAAAGACAGGTTATAATAATAAACAGTTTTCATTTCAAAGTGTACGAATTAAATTACTTCGATTGTGATACATGCTGTTGATTGAACATAAAAAAAGATAATTGAATATAACATCAACGAAAAAATACGATGAACATGTCCTTAAAACATTAACTCAATTTCATTGATAAAAGTCGATAAATTAGATAAGAAATAGACAGATAGATAGATAGATAGATGGATGGATGGATGGATGGATGGATGGATGGATGGATGGATTGGTTGGGTGGGTGGGTGTGTGTTTGCTTGGATGGATGGATGGATGGATGGATGGATGGATGGATAGAGAGAGAGAGAGAGAGAGAGAGAGAGAGAGAGAGAGAGGGAGAGAGAGAGAGAGAGAGAGAGAGAGATAAATAGACATCATAATTCATAAATACTTTGCTTGGGTTTATTATTAATATTTTGTAGCATATGTATGTGTTCACTCGTTTCTTTTTATAAAAGTCATGAAAATGTTCTTCATCATTTAATCACATGATACCTATAATTTATAAATGTACTGACTAATTATTCATTTTTGTTTGATTTCTTTACTAGAACATTGAAACATTTAATTTTATTGAATAATTTTCAAGACAAATTACGAAATATAAAAAATACTGAACGATAACTCACCCTTTCTTGTGCATTTGTCAACGTAAGTCCAGGTTTTATCACTTTGACACTCAATGGTCCGACTCATGTTGCTTGGATTTGCATCTGAGAATTCATAGCCAGTCATGCAAGTGTATGAAATGGTTTGCATGAAAACGAAACGATTCATGGATATTTCTGTAGCATTCATAACTATATGTAAGGGGATAATTGCAGCAACGTTTGGTTTAGGACATTCTGAAAGAAAATGTGGACTAAAATTTAAGAAGTTGATAACTTAGAAGTTAGATTAATAGGTAGACAGATAGATAGATAGATAGATAGATAGATAGATAGATAGATAGATAGATAGATAGATAGATAGATAGATAGATAGATAGATAGATAGATAGATAGATAGATAGATAGATAGATAGATAGATAGATAGATAGATAGATAGATAGATAGAATAGATAGATAGATAGATAGATAGATAGATAGATAGATAGATAGATAGATAGATAGATAGATAGATAGATAGATAGATAGATAGATAGATAGATAGATAGATAGATAGATAGATAGATAGATAGATAGATAGATAGATAGATAGATAGATAGATAGATAGATAGATAGATAGATAGATAGATAGATAGATAGATAGATAGATAGATAGATAGATAGATAGATAGATAGATAGATAGATAGATAGATAGATAGATAGATAGATAGATAGATAGATAGATAGATAGATAGACAGATAGATAGATAGATAGATAGATAGATAGATAGATAGATAGATAGATAGATAGATAGATAGATAGATAGATAGATAGATAGATATAGATAGATAGATAGATAGATAGATAGATAGATAGATAGATAGATAGATAGATAGATAGATAGATAGATAGATAGATAGATAGATAGATAGATAGACAGATAGATAGACAGACAGAAAGTATAACCTTCGTTATATCATCAATGTGTAACATATAAACTTATTCACCGGGTGTTTTTATGAAAATCATCATTCAAATGTTCACAAACATTTCATCACATGATATAAAGATTTTTTATGTATTGACTGATTCAATTATTCATTCATTTGTTGTTTTATTTTGTTATTAGGAAATTGATTAATTGATAATTTTGTTGATAATTTTACATATATATTTACGACTTATTGGAAAATATTAATTGCGATTACTCACGTTTTATTGTACATGTGTCAAATGTAGACCAGTTTTTATCACTTCCACACTCAATGGACCGATATGTGTTGTTTTTCTTTGGAATTGAGAATTCATAGCCCACATTACATAAATATGAGATTGTATTCTTGAAAACGAATACCTTACTGGATAGTTCTGTATCAATCATAGGTATATGGACGTTTTTATCAGCAGGAACAATTGGTTTAGGACATCCTGAAACAAACAAAAAACATTGATGCTAAGTTTAGAAATTAATAAATTATTTGAAATATCGACAGGTAGATAGATAGATGGATGGATGGATGGATGGATGGATGGATGGATGGATGGATAGATAGATAGATAGTAGATAGATAGATAGATAGATAGATAGATAGATAGATAGATAGATAGATAGATAGATAGATAGATAGATAGATAGATAGATAGATAGATAGATAGATAGATAGATAGATAGATAGATAGATAGATAGATAGATAGATAGGACATCCTAGATAGATAGATAGGAAGGTAGGTACGTAGGTAGGTAGGTAGGTAGATTAGATAGATAGAGAGATAGACAGACAGACAGACAGACAGACAGACAGACAGACAGACAGACAGACAGACAGACAGACCGACCGACCGACCGACCGAACCGACCGACCCCGACCGACCGACCGACCGACGACCGACCGACCGACCGACCGACGACCGACCGACAGACAGACAGACAGACAGACAGGACAGACAGACAGACAGACATACAGACAGACAGATTAACAATAGATAATAACAATGTTTTGCTGTAATGTTGGTACGCCTAACCTTTTCTTTGGCACTTTTCAATGGTAGTCCATTTTTTGTCACTTTGACAAAAAGTACTCCGTGTAGGAGTAGGATTGTTTATGAATTCGTAGCCCACGTTGCACTCATAAGGTTGCTTATCCTGGAACTTGTATATTTTTGTTGCGTTTTTTGTTCCATTTTGCAATAAATGCACGTTGTCGGCAGGAGAGATAGTGAGTTTATAACATACTGAAATAAACGTTTGAAAGATAGTTTGATTTCACATTTAAATATCTCTCTTTTCCTTTATACCTAAAAAATGATGCAGGTAGCTAGAACATTGGATGAAAGAATGGATGGATGGGTGGATAGCTGTTTGCCCGGATGGACAGACAGACAAACAACAACTAGATAGAAAGATTAGATAGATCTACAGACAGACAGACAGACACTTACAGACAGACAGACAGACAGGCTTCAAGGCGACAGGCAGTGCCTGCCTTGACGGCAGGTTATGCGTACTTTTTGGTAGGCGTTGGTAGGCGTTGGTTTAAACATATTTATCAAGTTACAAAACTACACAAGATACAGAAAAGATACAGAAAATGAATATGTACATTATTATAAGAAAATTAGACTGTCTGTTTCGTCTTTTGATGTTTTTGTTTTTTTAATTCCAAAATAATATTCGATATCAGATTTTAATTTGAAAGTATATTTTGAAACAACTCCGCTCCAGCGTAACATTTATCAACTCAAACATGTATTAAAAATGTTCCACATTTGATATGAACCCGTTAAAGCTGATCTACGACACATGTAGACATATTAATTAAACATATACTAAACATATGCATAATTTGAATTTAATGCTTTAACGATAATGAAATGTGTGTTTGTAATGATTTTTTTATATTAAGTTTTCCTAATATACGGGTGGGGGCTCGTGATTTTCGTGCAAAAATCGCCAGTAAATTAAGACAGTGACCAAACCAATGAATGAATGAATGAATGAATGAATGAATGAATGAATGAATGAATGAATGAATGAATGAATGAATGAATGAATGAATGAAAAACAAAAACAAACTAAAAATCCCGTCTTTTTTAGTTAATTTCCTTAATAAACTGTATGTAAAATTTAGGCTAAATAAACCACATTTTATTTTTTTGTGATATATCCAAAGAGGGGTCATTTGTGTTTTTCACACCATGCAATGCTATCTCAATCTGATTTAAGGGTAATAAAACTTAATTGATCGATCTGATCTTCTGTTGCGTAATATGTTACGTAATTTATAGCATGAGATGATAATGTTTTTCACAAGTTTTTGGGGTGTCAACATACATTGGGGCCATAACATAACATAACATAATCTTTATTTCTCTCAATAAATGATATAATCATACGAGGCTCATAAAAGGTGACAAACAAAACATGCAAATCAATAATTACAAAATTAGAACTAATGAAATATAAATAACACAAGTATTTTCAGTGAATAGTTAAGTTCTTATTTTTTGAATAATACATTTAACAAATTTACACAATTTGAGAAATTCAGATTTGTTTTTAGTACACATAAAATTTTCTAGTTTAAAAATGTTTGGTCGTTGATAATATACTTTTTTCAAAAATTGTTTTCTTTCTTCGTTGAATTGACAACATTCAAGTAAATAATGAAATTCGTCGCCAATTTTATTTTGACAATTAGAACAAAATCTTTGGTTAATTGGAGTACTGGACCAATTTCCCCTTTCTATAGGAAATCGATGATTTCTTGTTCGAAATTTAATAAAAAAGTACAGTAATGAACTATCTAAATTTGCCAAGTACGATTCAAATCCAAAAGTTGTCTTAATTATTCTATAAAACAAACTGTTACTCGAATTTTCAATTTTAGAATACCACTCATTTAAAAAAGATCTTTTAACTTTTGTTTAACAGAAAGTTTGAGCCACTCAGAGTTTGTAAATGTGTTGTCGAACCACACTTGTGGTAGACCACATTTGATTAAAATAGTTTTTGACATTAAAAAACCATGGAAATTTCTTTTTTAAGCAAATTATCACTTAAAGCAGCTGTTTGAGTGTAGTAAGTTATTATAGACAAGAATTGACAATTTATTATTAGCGTTAACACCGTGTTTATTACATAATTTTTGACCAGAATGATATTATCCTTTCTTCGATGTCCAATAGCTAGAGGCAAACAACCGGTTTCTCCATAAACAAAATAATTTGCTGTTGACTTTTTTTAATTTAAGAATAATTTTTAAAAACCTTAGTTGAACTCGCTCATAATGTCGAGATTACCATATCCGCCAAATTTCTACACCGTACAGTAAAATCGGCTTAATTGTTTTATTAAATAATTCAATTTGTAAATCTATTGGAAGATTGAGACGATTAGAATTTTTTACTAAACTATACATGGCTCTTGTAGCTTGGCTTGCAATATGTTTTTTACATTTTAGAAAAGAACCTGTTTTTACTAAAATAAAAATTCCAAGATATTTGTATTCTTTACTACCTCGATAGGTTCGTTTTTAAAAGTAAAATTATACATTGTTGTCTACCTTTTAGAAAAAACTACGATTTTTGGTTCTTTGGACGTAATTAACCTTAAGTTTTCCAATTATCACAGTAATTGTTCATATATATTTAAATGCTTTTTGTAAATCATCTGCTGTTTCTTCTGATAATTATTACCCGTATCGTCAGCATAGAGTAATATAAATAATTTTAAAAGACAGAAAAGCTCATTTGTATTACTTCCATTTACCAATGTTATTCAATGTACGTTACTATCATTTAAAAAATACGATTCTAGATCGTTTAAAAATAATGAAAATCAGATCTGCCATTGATTTATATTGCAATCCAATCAATTTATTAGCCGAATGGTAGTTCCTTTATTCATTGGTAATTGAAAATTATAACTGCAATAGCCGAACCCCGCCCAACTTTATTACATGATGATTCTGGTGCGGCCAATGAAATTTTAGGTAATCATCCAATCAAAATCATAATTTTTCATATTTTTATCCATTAGTTGCTATTCTTTGCTAATCTTTATTTAAAATTTTTTGGGTTGGGGCAGAAATTTATTAAAAAATGTAGGAATTTGTTAATAGTAAATATGTTCCAAATCTGAATAAAAGAAAGCACAAAATATGTTTTGGAAAAACTGGGTCTTTTCCAAAAAAAAAACTGCCTGATCTTTTTATGAACACGTACATTTTAATTTCATACAATATTTACCTATTGCGTAGTTTTAAAACAATAATAATTATATTCTTCTCTGTGTGTAGTCAAAAGATTTTTTTTTAACATTTAAAAAGAAACTGGTATAAAAATAATCAGTATTGAAATAATCAAATTTTGTCATAATATATCCTTTTTTTGTGATATATCCAAACAGGGGTCATTTGGGTGTTTTTCACAACCATTGCAATTGCTATCCTCAATTTGATTTAAGGGTAATAAAACTTCATTTTTAAAGTTACTAAAAAAGGATTTCCAATGAAAAATTTTTAAAATACGGGACTTGAAAAATTTTTAGAAAATTCTTTTAATTTAATCCTAAAAAAGGCCCCCTTTATACAAAACCCGTGTAAAAAATTTGATTAAATTAGGCCTCAGGGGGTTCTTACCCGTCCAAAAAAAAGCCATTGAAAATATGTTTAAAACACATGTGAAATTCAGGTAAAACTTTTTTAAAAACCCCCTTTTAAAAACCCTTTCTATGGCAAAAAATAAAAAATTTGTAAGAAAATTTTAAATTTTTTAAAAACAAAAAATAAAATTATAAAAACATGAAAATGAAAAAAAATAATATAAGGCCCCAACAAGCTTCAAAACCATTAAAATGTCAAAATAAAAATAAAATTTAAGTTGGAACACTAAAATTCCCTCAATAGTGCGAATAACTGAAGACCCAATATGAACCATGTATTAATTTTGATACCTGTCATTTCCACTGAGCTCTAATTAGAATAGTTACAATTGATATATCTTATAGACTTCGATAAAATTCATCTTCTAACACTGATTACTTACCTTGTGTGAACTGTTGAAACCCCTAAGAACCGAATGCGTACTAAAATATGGTCGCACGCTTAACAAGGGGCCCTTATTAACACATCTACACCTTAATGATTTGCACGTTTTTCTCTCAATTAACATAGATTTTTTATATCCCAAATGGCTATTCGAATATAAAGGCATACACTTTTTATGATATTTATAAGTGATCAATACAGTGAACAAATAGAATATATTACATATCATGTATACTTAATTTTATGTGTGGTAGGTCAAGCAAATCATGACACAAAAAAAGTCATGTAAAGTTTTAAAACATTATTTCAGTTAATATTTTAACTTTCTTGTCGTTCATATACAGAAGCATGTGTGTAAATTTACTAAATACAGAAATTGACAGAGCTTTGTATCTCAATTGGGTACATCAATATTGAATACATATTTCTTCAGTAATCATTTTGGCACTTAAAAGGGCCGTTTATATTTATAACCGGATAAGAAATTTCAACCTGTAAGGCAGAAGAACGGTTTTCTCGAAAATTCAAAATGTTTGTTGAGACATATTTTGAATGTTGTTCATATCGTTTCCAACAAAATGTATTAAATTTAAAGGATACTTCTTCTTGAGTTTCTGTCTGTCAAAGGAGGGCCCTGCCTACAAAAACAGACAGTCATCTTGACATGAATAGGCAAGGTCATCTTGAAATTCCTGTCTGTAAAAGAAGGCCCTACTTACACGAAACACAAAGTCATCTTGAATTTTCTGTCTGTTAAATTGGGCCCTGCCTACCCGAATAGACAGTCATCTTGACATGAATAGGCAAGGTATCTTGAATTCCTGTCTGTTTAAAGAAGTCCTTGGCTTACACGAAGAAACAGTCATCGTGAGATTCTGTCTGGGTTAAAGGGAGGGATTCCTGCCTTTATGAACAGACAAAGGTCATCTTGAGTTTATGCATTGGGTTTATTTATGAAGTGGTGGATAGTTTGTAAATATTTGTAAAAAACAAGAACTGCGTATTTGATTTTGGATTTGAATCTTATCGTTAACTGTCTTAAAAACAATACACATCTGTATATTTTGATACTACAATTTTCATTGAAATCGACGCAACATTTGACCAAATTGGAAGGCAAAAGTTCGACGTTAAATTTTCAAAATTTTATGAATTTGTCTGCCCAAATTCGTCTGCCAAGTTTCGGCACAGTGGTGAATTTAAAATAATTACAGCGCAATGCCACATCGTTTTGAAATATATTCTTTTACAACATTCTCAAGAGAATGTCCATGTGCACATTTTTAAATACTATTATTAAATAAGTAATAAATGATTTCAATGAATCTTAGAAGCTGAAAATTGAACGTTACATAGCTGAAAATGTTAATTAAGGGTATACATCAAATTTAGGTGAGGCGGAAATATTATTCTAAAATTTTTGCCATTTAAAGGTTTGTTTTATAATAAAATTTCATATTCAAATGTGACAACAGTGTCATTTAACGCACAATCCATGATCAATGTATGTAAGAATTGAGTAAGGATTTAACGATTTTTAAGAGGCAAAAAATCAGCGGCATTTTATTTTGAAATTCCAAAATTGATCTTACCAAAGCCAAAGGTCAAAAGCAAGCCGTATTCGGTGTTGGATTTTAAAATCTTAAAAACAGTTCCCTAAGCAATACAGAGACGTGCAATTTTTGATATAAAAAATTTCATTGAAATCGACCAGAAATTTTGACCAAATTAGGGAAGCGAAAAAGTTTCAACGTTAAATTTTCTTTAATTTCATGAATTTTGGTTTCCGCCAAATAGGATTAGGGGTAAACTTTTCTAAAATAACGCAATGTAAATCGTTTTTGGAAAATAAATTTTTTTCTTAACAACATTCTTAAGGGGAAATTGGTCCATGGTTGCACACTTAAACACTAGTATTTTAAATGAAATTTAGCCAATAAGAAATTTCACTGATTTAGAACAAAATTGAATTTGCATTACCTGAAAAAAATTAAAAAAAATTAATTTAATTTTAAATTTTAAAATTTTAATATAAATTTAATTTTTTATCTTTATATATTAAATTTATTTTAATATTACAATTAAATTAAATATATTTTTTTAAATATTATAATCTTTTTTTTTAAAATAAAAATTTTAAAAATTTTTTTTCTAAAAAATTTTTTTTTAAAATTTTAAAAAAAAAAATTTTTTAATTTAAAAAAATTTAAAATTTTAAAACTTTAATTTTAAATTTAATTTTTTTAAAAAAAAAATTTTCAAAACAAAAAAATTTTTTTTTGAAAAATTTTCAAAATTAAAAAAATTTAAAAAACAGGATAATTTAAAAATTTTTGAAAAAAAAAGGCAAAAAAGGGTTTTTTAGATTTGAAAATTGGAAAATTAAAAAAATTTTTTAATTAAATTGAAAAGAAAAAAAAAGGGAAATTTTTTTTTATTAAAATTTCAAATTTTTAAAAAAGGACCAAAATTTTACCAATTTAAGAAAAAGTTTTTCGACTTAAATTTTGGTTTTCTAAAAAAAATTTTTACAATTTTGAAAAATAACAAAAGGGTTTAACTTTTTAAATTAAATTTTTTGCATTATTAAAACGTTTTTTGAAATAAAAAAAATTTTTTTCTTAAAAAAAAAATTTTCCCCCAAAATTTTCAAAAAATTTTACATTTTTAAAAAACCTAATTTTTAAAAAAATTAAAAAATAAAGAATTTTAGCTTGGAAAAAATTTAAGAAAAGCTAAAATTTTGAAAAATTCCTTTTCCCAAAAGTTAAATTAAAAAACCGCAAATTACAGGTTGAGGCGAACATAATAAAGCTTAATCATGCATTTAAAGTCTTGTTTTAAAATAAATTTCATATCTTTAATGTAAAACCACAGTGTCATAAGGCACACTCTTTTATCATTCATGTAAAAATCGAGAGGAAGTTAACGATATTAAGAGGCAAAAATTTTGGCGCAAAATTTCAATCTGAAATTACAAATTGATATTCCGCTGGGTAGGGGTTAGATTTTCTTTCAATGCAGCCGTTGATGTGAGGCGAACAGATTATCTTAATCATGCCATTAAAAGTCTTGTTTTAAATTCAAATTTCATACTTTGAATGTAACGCACAGTGTCATAAGGCACACTCTTTTATCATTTTTCATGTAAAAAAATCCGAGAAGAAGTTAACGATATTAAGAAGGAAAAAAATTTGGCGCATTTCATCTGAAATTACAAATTGATATTCCGCTGGGTAGGGGTTAGATTTCTTTCAAATGCAGCCCATATCTGTTTGTTAGATTTTAAAATCAAGATGATACCGTTCCTTAACCAATACATACACTTGCATTTTGATACTAATTTCCATTGAAATCGACCAAAAATTTGACCAAATTGGAAGTAAAAGTTCAAAGTTAAATTTTCTAAATTTCCTGAATTGGTCCGCCAATTACGGATAGGGGTAAACTTTTTAAATATACGCAATGCACATCGTTTTGAAAATAAATTGTCTTACAACATTCTGAAGAGATTGTTTATGTGCACATTTAAAGACTATTATTAAATAAATAGAATATATTACATATAACAGGAACTGCTTATTTGATTTTGGATTTGAAATCTTATCGTTAACTTCCTTAAACAATACACATATGTATATTAAGAGTATTAAGAGGCAAACATTTGGCGCATTTCATCTGAAATTACAAATTGATATTCCGCTGGGTAGGGGTTAGATTTCTTTCAAATGCAGCCGTTGATGTGAGGCGAACAGATTATCTTAATCATGCCATTTAAAGTCTTGTTTTAAAATAAAATTTCATACATTAATGTAACCACAGTGTCATAACGCACAATCTATTACAATTCATTTAAAAATCGAGAGAAGTTAACGATATTAAGAGGCAAAATTTGGCACATTTCATCTGGACCAATTTGGAAGCAAAAGTTCGACGTTAATTTTTTTTCTAAATTTTATGAATCGGTACCGCAAATCCATACAGGGGTGAACTTTTTAAATATACGCAATGCACATCGTTTTGAATATAAATTTCCTTACAACATTCTCAAGGGATTGTTCATGTGTACATTTAAAGACTATTATTAAATAAAATAGATAAGATTTCACTGATTTAAAAGCTAGAATTAAACGGTGCATACCTGAAAATGTTATTATACAGGCAAATTACAGGTGAGGCGGTTAGATTATTTTATTTTTGATATTGATAGTCTTGTTTTAAAATAAAATTCCATACTTTAATGTGACAACAGTGTCATAACGGACATTCTTCGATTGTGTATGTAAAACTCGAGTGGTATTTACGTTATTTAGAGGCATAATTCAAAGCACTTTTTCTAAATTCGAAATTGATATTACGCAAAGCAGGGTAAGGGGTTATATTTCTTTGAATAGCAGGCGTATTAAGTGTTAGATTTAAAATTCTATTATATAGTTCCTTAATCAATACATAGACGGGCATTTTGATACTAATTATATTGAAATTGACCAAAATTTGACCAATTTGGAAGCAAAAGTTCGACGTTAATTTTTTTCTAAATTTTATGAATCGGTCCGGCAAATCCATACAGGGGTAAATATTTAAATATACGCAATGCACATCGTTTTGAATATAAATTTCTTTACAACATTCTCAAGGGATTGTTCATGTGTACATTTAAAGACTATTATTAAATAAATAGAATAAGATTTCACTGATTTAAAAGCTAAAATTGAACAGTGCATACCTGAAAATGTTATTATACAGGCAAATTACAGGTGAGGCGGTTAGATTGTTTTATTTTTGCTATTTATAGTCTTGTTTTAAAATAAAATTCCATACTTTAATGTGACAACAGTGTCATAACGGACATTCTTTGATTATGTATGTAAAACTCGAGAGTGGTATTTACGTTATTTAGAGGCAAAATTAGAAGCACTTTTTCTGAATTCGAAATTGATATTACGCAAAGCAGGGTAAGGGGTTATATTTCTTTGAATAGCAGGCGTATTTAGTGTTAGATTTAAAATCCTACATTACAGTTCCTTAATCAATACATAGACGGGCATTTTGATACTAATTTCATTGAAATTGACCAAAATTTGACCAATTTGGAAGCAAAAGTTCGACGTTAATTTTTTTTCTAAATTTTATGAATCGGTCCGGCAAATCCATACAGGGGTGAACTTTTTAAATATACGCAATGCACATCGTTCTGAATATAAATTTCCTTACAACATTCTCAAGCGGTTGTTCATGTGTACATTTAATGACTATAATTTTAAAAAATTAGAATATCATTTTATCGATTTAGAAGCTAAAATTGACCTGTGCATACCTGAAAATGTTATTATACCTGCAAATTACAGGTGAGGCGAACAGATTAACTTAATCATGCCATTTAAAGTCTTTATTTAAAATAAAATTTCATACTTTAATGTAACCACAGTGTCATAACGCACAATCTATTATCATTCATGTAAAAATCGAGAGAAGTTAACGATATTAAGAGGCAAAAAATTGGCGCATTTCATCTGAAATTACAAATTGATATAACGCTGGGTAGGGGTTAGATTTCTTTCAAATGCAGTCGTATCTGTTGCTGTATTTAAAATCGTATGATATCGTTTCTTAACCAATACATACACGTGCATTTTGATACTAATTTCATTGAAATCGACCAAAATGTGACCAAATGGGAAGTAAAAGTTCAACGTCAAATTTTCTAAATTTCATGAATTGGTCCGCCAAATACGGATAGGGGTAAACTTTTTAAAGATACGCAATGCACATCGTTTTGAAAATAAATT